GGAGTCAGCGCCCGCCCCCCCACCCGAGAGCCTGAGACCGGGCGCCTGGCAGGGGGGTGGGGGGGAGCTGGGGGGTCATCTCAGTGGGAGAGCCACTGCCAGGAACCCGGAATCCAGGGGGAGCTGGCTTGAGGGTGGAGGAGGCTCCTGTCCCCCACAGCTAGACCCCTTGGGTCTGCGGACCACAGTGATGTCTTCCACAAGATGGGGGGAACCTCAGGACTGGGGCTCTGGTCCCCTCTGTGGCAAGCCCTTCATCTGTCTGGGTCTCAGAGCTCTCCTCTGTAAAAAAAAAGAAAAAAAGTAGGTTGGGCTGGTGCTCCCAGAAGCCACCACTCCCCAACCAGGTTGCCCATCACCAGTACTTCAGTGAACTGGCTCAAATATGGAGCCTGGCCCCCTGCTACTCCCCTCCATGCAGCATACCCACCCCTCCCCTCCTGGAACCACAGTTCAGGGCCCTTCCATCACTAACACCATCCGATTCAGAGACTCCCCAGCCTTGGGCAGGGGGCACAGACTGTCCCTGCAGGGTGGAGCTGGCATGGTCCCCTCAATGTCCCAGCCTAGTAGCAGAACTTCGGGCTCCAGGAAAGTCCTCTGTTAAAGGACGGGATGGAACCGAATTCTAACTAAGACCCTACTGTCATGTTGTTCTTGTTTACTAGCTAAAGTCACATCCAACTCTTCTATGACCCCATGAACTGTAACCCACCAGGCCGGGGTTCTCCAGGCAAGAATACTGGAGTGGGCTGCCATTTCCTTCTCCAGGGGATCTTCCTGACCCAGGGATCCAACCCTTGTCTTCTGCGTTGGCAGGTGGATTCTTTATCACTGACCACCCAGGAAGCCCCCACTGTCATAATAACCACCATTTATTGATGGTGGTCTGTGTGCCGACTGGGTACCACATGGTTACAGGATCTCATCTAATCCCCCCTCAGTCTGCTGAAAGAGTTGTTCTCTTGAGTTACACACACTGAGGAAACAGGCTAAATAACTTGCTGAAGGTAATGCAGCTGCAAAGAGGGCAAAGCTGCATTTGAACCCGGACTTCACCCATCTCATCTGCACGTGGATTGTCTTCTTTAAGGCTCAAAACAAACCTAGGAGGAGGTACACTCACCCCCATTTTACGGATGAGGAGACAGATTGCTGGCCAAGTTCACAATAATGGCTAACTCAGGCAATGCCCGCCCCATGTATTAATATATTAACACCTGTCGTTTCATTTAACCTCACATCTTACAGATGAAGGACTGAGTCACAGGGATACCGAGTGACTTGCTCAAGGGTCAGTTAGTAGTAGGGCCAGGATTTGGAATCAGGACGTCTGTAAGATGTGCAGATGAAATGAAACAAGGCAAATGCTCAACCAAATCGTAAGTTCCCGTCTCCAAGTGGGGCCCTCCCACCTGCAGCGTCTGCGTCACCTGGGAACTGGTGAAGACATGCAACATCTCAGCGCTCCCTGCCCCCCCACCCCTCCCCTACTGCAGACCTGTTGAATTGGAAACTTGGGGGGAGGCGCACAGGGCTCAGCGATCAGCAGGGGATTCTGATGCACCCCGAAGTTTTAAGAACGACATTGCTTTCCCCGCACAAGTAGGTTAGAGGAGGCAGGTTCGAACCCAAGACTCTAGAAGGCGGGCCCCTTCCTGTTCTGCCACGCTGCTCCCCGCGCTTCCCTGGCGTCCTCCGAGGGTCTCAGGCGCACTCACCCGTCTTCTCCCCCCACGCCCGCCCAGGATGACCTGTTCGCGGACCTGGCCAACCTGAGCCACCTCTTCTTGCACGGGAACCGCCTGCGGCTGCTCACGGAGCACGTGTTCCGCGGCCTGGGCAGCCTGGACCGGCTGCTGCTGCACGGGAACCGGCTGCAGGGCGTGCACCGCGCCGCCTTCCGCGGCCTCGGCCGCCTCACCATCCTCTACCTGTTCAACAACAGCCTGGCCTCGCTGCCGGGCGAGGCGCTGGCCGACCTGCCGGCGCTCGAGTTCCTGCGACTCAACGCCAACCCTTGGGCGTGCGACTGCCGCGCGCGGCCGCTCTGGGCCTGGTTCCAGCGCGCGCGCGTGTCCAGCTCCGACGTGACGTGCGCCTCGCCGCCCGAGCGCCGGGGCCAGGCGCCCGCGGACTCCCGCGGCCCCGCGCACGCGCCCGGGCTCGCCGCCCCGCTGCTTTGCCTGATAATCCTGGCGCCCCACCACCTCTGACCGCGGTGCTGAGATTGAAGCGGCCGGCGTCTCCCGGCCCCCGACCCCCGCCCCTCACCCTCCGTCTCCAGTGCCCACCGCGGGCTGGCGGCCTGCCTTCTCCTCCCAGCGCCTCGCATCCCCAGGGACCCGGCCACCTCCCGGGTCGCCGGCTGATGGCAGCCCCCGGAGCGCACGTCTGGTGGCCCAGCCACGCGAAGCCATGGCTGGGATCTTCTCCCCACCTCCGGCCGTCAACCCGTGCCCATCCCGAGGCTGAGTGGGCACCCCGGGCCGCCGCGGACCCCGTCCCCCAGCGCCCGCGGTGGACTCAATAGGGTCTTTGTCTGCAGAGCAGCGCCCACCAGCAGAGCCCTCGTATGCTCCGGGAAGGGCGCCGCTCTCAGGAGCCCTTTGGAGGGACGCCAGGCCAGCCCCAGGCCTCTGCTTATCCTCACCCCCTGCCTCAACTTCCCGACACTGGAGAAATACTTTTCTCCTAAGTCTACTCTGGACACTTTGAGGGTGCCTGGAGAGAAGGGTTCCTCTCCACCATGGCCCCTGTGTGGTGAAGATCAACAGACATTGTTTGGGGGGGAAAAAGTTTATTAAAAAATTCTATTATTTTATCTCCTGTAAAGTTTATTGGCTCAGGATCTCAAAAGTGGGAGAAGGGCTTAGAACCATCACGCTTTCAGGGGCCGGGAGAGTTAGAAAGCAATCGGGAGCCATTCCACAGCATCCAAGTGCTTCCTGCCGTTGCCCCTACCAGAAGAAAATGAAGGCAGAGGAGGAAGGGGGTGACCCTGGGGGTCCCGGGCAGGTCAGGTGAAATCCGAAAGCCAGGAGTGTGCTGATCCCACCTCACCTGCTCATTGTCCAAGAGAAGCAGCTGCAGCCCACCCGAGTTGTCAGTGCGGGAGGAGCCAGGCCTGGGCAAGGCCTCCAGCCTGGCTAATGGTTCTCTCCCAGCTCCTGTTCCTTCAGGAAGGAAAAAGCAGCATCTCTCACTTCCCCCTGCAAGGAGGAGTAATAACATGGGCGGCCCCAACATGGCTTTGGGTAAACCTGAAAAAGACACCTCTTCCTTAGGGCACCACAGCTTCAAACTGCAGCAAACACTTTAGCGAACAGCATAAGGCTGGAGTTCATCTCACATTCAGCTCTTGTGCAGTGTACAACCTGCACAGCTGTACACAGCAACCCTGTAGACCAATGGGCTCTTCCCCTTGGCTCCTGTGAGGCAGAAGACATCAGGGAGGATTCGGGTCAGAGAAGCAGTTCTCCAAGCGGGTTAGTGGAGAAGCTGAGAGATTTTTGGTGATCAGAGGGATGAGAATCCCAAGCTGGGGTGTCTTGCTCACTTGAGGTATCATAAGAAGCTCCATCTTTCCAGTGTGTGGAGGAGAGGCTAGGGAAAGGGGAGAGCCTTGGCTGAGAAGGACTTGGGTGAGTCTCATCTGCCAGAAGCAATTGGGGAAGACTTGGATGGTTCAAATTTAGGGTTAAGAATGTAACTGGGGAGCTGGGGATGGAAAGAGGACATCACGGTGCCAGGGCTCAAGGATCCTGAGGGTCTGTGACCTTGGCCAGGGGTGTCAGCAGGATGGTGGAGAGAGGAGGATGAAATGGGAAAGAGTTAACATCTAAGGCCTGAAGCAAGTGGACTTTGGATAAAGGTGTGAGGTTGGGGTGCAGTGGATAGTGCTGAGTCTGGGGTCTCACAGGGGCGCATGTCACCCTGCCTTTGAGGAGGCTGATGAGTGGGCTTAGGGGGCCAGCCCTCAAGAGCTCTGAAGGAGGAGGGACCGCCGGAGCCTGGGCAGGGAGGGGGTGGGGGGAGGATGCTGGTAAATCAGAAGCAGGCGGTCCAGGTCACAGAACTATCGTCGTGAAATATTCATGGGCCTTTGGTCCAGATGCTATTTCAGAACGGTGAAAGCGAGGGGGGTGTGTGAGCCTCGGGAGGAAGCCGACAGCAAGGCCACTCTCCCCCACCTCCGCCCCCACTCGCCCAGACAGACCCACGGACGCCCATCACGTGCACACCCACGCTCACATGCTCCCTCACACACACTCGCACCAAAGCAGAGCAAGAGAGAGCACGTGCAGACACGCAAACACCCACGGGCCCCACAAACAGGCAGATGCACCCCAAATACCGACGGGTGTGCACAGCTGCTCCCCTGACTCCCGGCACAGAGACCGCCCCGAGATCTCACACGCCCAGACCCCAGACAACCCAGACGGATAAGTCTGAGCCTCACACCCTGAGACAGGAGGGCCTTGCATGCCATCCAGTCCAACCCCCCAGGATAGAGAGAGGAGGGGGGTTGTGCAAGACTGCCCAGCCCGAGAGGAAGCTCCTGGACCGCCCCCCCCCCCGAGGGCCCACCCCCAGCCTGTGTTCCCTGTGTTCTGTGGTCTCCGGCTGCCCGACACCAGTATCAGTGAGTTTCTTCCTTGAATCTCCCATCCGCTCACCCACCCGGCCCCCACCCAGGGCCCGCCAAGCCGTTCCTTCCCATCCCCTCCCCGGCTGCATCTCCTCATTACCTCATGCTTAGAACGTGGAAGGAAATAGCAGTAACCTCCTCTCCCGTTTTCCTGCATTCGCTCTCACTGCCTCCCACTCCGCTGGCCCATGTTGCCCAGATCCATCAGACCAGAACTCGCATTATGTCATTCTGTTACTCAGGCACGCACCGCGGGCTCCCCGTTCCCTTGCAAGTTAAAGATAAAACGTCGCAGCAAAGCCTCGGAGGCCCTGCAGCGTCCGGGCCCGGCTGCCTTTCTATCTTTTTCTCTCCCGGCCTCCCCCCAACACCTTCACTCCAGCTGGAAAGACTGCACCATGTGGGCCCTCCATTACCATTAACGTGAACCCCACAGACCCACTTTGCACCTCTCCTAAAGTTCCTCAGTCTCCCCCAGACGTGGGACCCTTGCCCCCTGCTTCAGAAAACAGAGTCCAGAGCCCCTCCCCAAGGCCAAAGCTCCATCTTGCTGACCTTAACCGTGGGCTTCTGTTCCTTCAAAGCTGCTGGGAGCAGCTCAGGCTAGGGTCGGCTCCCAGGAGGTGGCTGCCCCTTGCCGGCCACTGTGGGTATCACAGTCAGGCACGGGGATCCTAACCTGAGCATGAGCATCTCTCCGCCTGGGGAGAGGCAGAGAAGGACGCCAGATGACAAGGTCTATAAGCCCTTAAACCTCTAAGGTTCTTACACCCCGAGTTGGGGGAGGGTTGTCAGCCCTGCTTTCTGAGCTGCTGACTCCCGATGTTAGCTCCCAAATCCACGAGAGAACCCCTCTCCTATGAAAGGCGAAGCCTTGCAGGGTGAGGGTGGGAGGGGGCTCCCAGGACTCTGCGGAAGTGACATTTGCCCACCAGGCTCCAGGAGGCCCCGCCAGGCCTGGGACCATCCAGGTGGCAGGCCCAAGGTCCAGCCGGGGTCAGGTTTCAAGATGAATTTTTAATGCTTCCAGCCAGACCTATCAGATGTTCCCCTTTCATCTCTGCACCGTCCCCTCTCCCGTCCCCACGACCCCTGGGGGTGGAGCCAGCAGGGCAGGCCTGGGGCAGCTCCCAGCAGCCTCCTGAGAAAGGCTCTGGAAGACGCAGAGGTGTGAATGACTGAGTTATTTTCCCACTTGCGTTGTGACCTTGAGTGAGTCACTTAACTACTCTGAGCATCCCTTGTTTGGTTTTGCATTTACGACCTGGGGGCGACAGCGCCTGCCGTAGGGAGTTGTCGCGGGGAGTAAGCGCTGGGCCCTTGGAAGGTGACCCATCTGTTTGCTGTTATCTTTCCCTGAGCCCTGCCCCCCTCCTCCGGTTTTCTTCAATCCCAGAGGTGCCTTTGTCTCTTTCCTGGGGAGGTGGGGGCTAGAGAGGAAGCTCCTGGACCGCCCCCCCCCCCGAGGGCCCACCCCCAGCCTGTGTTCCCTGTGTTCTGTGGTCTCCGGCTGCCCGACACCAGTATCAGTGAGTTTCTTCCTTGAATCTCCCATCCGCTCACCCACCCGGCCCCCACCCAGGGCCCGCCAAGCCGTTCCTTCCCATCCCCTCCCCGGCTGCATCTCCTCATTACCTCATGCTTAGAACGTGGAAGGAAATAGCAGTAACCTCCTCTCCCGTTTTCCTGCATTCGCTCTCACTGCCTCCCACTCCGCTGGCCCATGTTGCCCAGATCCATCAGACCAGAACTCGCATTATGTCATTCTGTTACTCAGGCACGCACCGCGGGCTCCCCGTTCCCTTGCAAGTTAAAGATAAAACGTCGCAGCAAAGCCTCGGAGGCCCTGCAGCGTCCGGGCCCGGCTGCCTTTCTATCTTTTTCTCTCCCGGCCTCCCCCCAACACCTTCACTCCAGCTGGAAAGACTGCACCATGTGGGCCCTCCATTACCATTAACGTGAACCCCACAGACCCACTTTGCACCTCTCCTAAAGTTCCTCAGTCTCCCCCAGACGTGGGACCCTTGCCCCCTGCTTCAGAAAACAGAGTCCAGAGCCCCTCCCCAAGGCCAAAGCTCCATCTTGCTGACCTTAACCGTGGGCTTCTGTTCCTTCAAAGCTGCTGGGAGCAGCTCAGGCTAGGGTCGGCTCCCAGGAGGTGGCTGCCCCTTGCCGGCCACTGTGGGTATCACAGTCAGGCACGGGGATCCTAACCTGAGCATGAGCATCTCTCCGCCTGGGGAGAGGCAGAGAAGGACGCCAGATGACAAGGTCTATAAGCCCTTAAACCTCTAAGGTTCTTACACCCCGAGTTGGGGGAGGGTTGTCAGCCCTGCTTTCTGAGCTGCTGACTCCCGATGTTAGCTCCCAAATCCACGAGAGAACCCCTCTCCTATGAAAGGCGAAGCCTTGCAGGGTGAGGGTGGGAGGGGGCTCCCAGGACTCTGCGGAAGTGACATTTGCCCACCAGGCTCCAGGAGGCCCCGCCAGGCCTGGGACCATCCAGGTGGCAGGCCCAAGGTCCAGCCGGGGTCAGGTTTCAAGATGAATTTTTAATGCTTCCAG